GACAGCATTTTCTGGTTGACAGGTAATATCTGTGTATCATTTTATACTGTATCAATTGGTGATTGTGGTTACGCGATGTTAAGGATATATTATTCCATATTCTCTTCCAATCAATAGTCTGCGTATAATTTTTTGATCTGCGTTCCATACTCTTCTTTTTTTGTTTCTAAAGCAGCAGTTTCAAAGTGCCAGCCAACAGCCAACACACATATCTGTACATCATATGGATATTTAATTGATATACTCTGACACTGGGTGAGCGTTTCCCGAGGAGAGGTCACAAATCAATCAGGGCTGACACTCTCTGTACAGAGACTGACAGCCATCACCCTCACATTCACACCTTCACTCCCATTAACCCGAGGTGTATGGGAAAACATGCTAAAACCCTGCAGAAAGGCCTCAGCTGCCCTTTATGGAGTCAATTATATATGTATTGATCATCTTTCAACTTATAATGAAACAGTTAAAGGTGGGGTAGGTACATTTGAGAAACCGGCTCGAGATACACTTTTTGTTATATTCCATGGAATGCTCTTAACATCCCGATAGCAATGAATATCTGAAGTGCTTTGACAAAGAATCCATTAAAAAAAATGTCATCTGTGGAAGCCGTAGTACTGCAAAAAGCACGACCAATCATCTGAGCCGGCCCGGCTAAAATAACTGGATGGCCTACCTGCCTGTCAGCCTTCCATCTGTGCACAAACGTATCTCGTGCCCTCATTGGTCATGTGTGTTGGAGGAGGGGCTCTGTAAAGAAGTGGCAGATTTTTTCCGGCTGTATATTTTCAAATTCTAGCGCACTCGAGCTGGTTTCTCCGAAATTACCTACCGCACCTTTAATGTAAATGTCATCATGTTTCCGTAATGCACTGTGAACACTAACCTGATCAATCTTGCGGCACCTCGAGGTCACCCACTTTGTGAACCATTTTGTTTAAATATATTATCAGATTTACAGTATGTCTGTTAAAGTTCTGGATTATGAGAGCGATTGTGAAAATGTATGCACCTTTGATAGTAGGCCTATTTCCTAATATCCAGATAAGCCTACAACTACAGTACGCTGCTTCAGGGGCTGTGGTTAGTGATTGCAAATCGTAAATAAATAAGAAATCCATGTAAATGACAGAGGTTGGGATATTGCACAAGTATAATTGATAACACCCAAATCTATTGTTTAGTATATGTGATTACATTTGAAATGTAGTCCTTCGTCACTGCCCATTATGGCCCAATACCCCCAGCACTCAGTAAAAATGGTTTCTATTGCCTCATTTAACATACTTTATCCTCATGTTCCTAAACAATCATTGATACTGTGCAAGTGTAAAGTGTGCAATGATGCGGTGTTGCAATAAACCCAAAGCTTCAAAGTTTGTTTATGTAATCAGGTGGAGTCAGGGTGTGGGCTAATCCTGCCGTCTACCATCAGGCTGCACAGTGGAAGAGACCTCCTTTATTCTATTGGGTCTGATGTGGACTTTCTAAACCAATAGCTGTTCAAAGTGTGTTTTTTTCACAAGTTATATTCAGTTTCAGCATATTATAAAACAATACTAGACTAGATTCACGTACAATGCTAACCGTTTTACTTATACTGTATCGCCAACAGTTGAAATAACTTTGCTAACTTGTTTTAGGAAAATGGTGTATACCATGTTGCACTCAATAATAAGCTCACTTTCCTTTTTTCAGCAACACTAACTTAGTTTGAACTCCACGTGGAGCAGTGGTTAGCATCTCCTTTTACACTGGCATAGTGTTTATTTAGCTAGCTTGCCATTTGGAGAGCCAGCCAGCCAGTCAATAAATAAAATCTTTAGGAGTAAATACAACCTTAACGACATGAGAAATAATTTTGGATATGTACATTAATGTAGTGTCTCATTTATTTTTGTTTTGATTTCAGAGCTGGGTATCAACAATCAACACTTTTTGGTGGCTTCTGAAAAGCGTCCATAGCACCAAGTATCGCCTTCCATCTGAAAGATGTCATCAAATGTTCTATTAATAAGTTCCCAGTCTGGTTACAACAGAGTGTGGCTGGTATGTTTTCACCTTGTGAGTCAACATGGCACAATGTGCTCCTACTCCCCTTTTTGGTCAATCTAAATCTCTGTGCAATAAGGAACATTATTTATTTGAATTTGTTTTAACATTGTGACATAATCTACACTCTTTGAGTTACCTCCTTTTGTCTATGTTTAACCTTATTAAATTATATTTAGAAAATATTTTTAACATTTGAGCTTTCTGGCTTCTTTTGCAAATACATTCTCTACAAAAGAAAAACATGATTATAAAGATTCATACAGTAGTAGAAATGTGATCACAACACCCATCCTACCTCAAAAAATTATTGAGTAGGCATGAAAAGCAACTCTGTATTGAAAATCCTGCTTGATCTGTATGTGTATATGTGTGTGTGTGTGTGTGTGTGTGTGTGTGTGTGTGTGTGTGTGTGTGTGTGTGTGTGTGTGTGTGTGTGTGTGTGTGTGTGTGTGTGTGTACCTCGGTATGTTATCATCGACAGTGGCACAGCCGTAGAGGAACACGATGACTCCGACGATGGCTGCAGGGATCAGCATCTGTGTGTAGACTCCTAACCAGGCGAAATATAGTCCCACCTTCTCCCCAAAATACTTCCTGTGGAAGGATACACCATAGGTGAAATATCCTACATTTACAACATTAATACATCACTGTCCATAACCATAACCCCTTCACAAATGAGATCATGATAGACATTATCATGGGTGTTCCATTATTTATAAATAATAAAGCAAGAAACATCCCATCCTGCTGTCTTTAGTTGTGGTAAATCGTTTTTACATCCTCTACCAACTGCATTCATCTCTGAAACCAGATCATGTTCATCCTACGCTGACATGACAGTGTTTAAAAGACATGATTAAAGTCCCTAAGCAGAGTGAGCTGCTCAGATTCAGTCTTTTTCCTGGAGAGCTCTGCGCTCAGCCCTGACTGTGAGAGAGCTTCAGCGGAGCTTCGATCTGATTCAGAGTCTTCCTCCGTCCTTCCTGCCCGCAGGCTGCTGGAGGCAGTTAATGCAGCTGTGAAAGCAATACATATAATTCCTGCAAATGTGTCTGTAATTCCTCCGATGTTTGACAAAGCTCATTGCTATTGATCTGACCTTATGAGTCCGATGGGCTGGTACTTGTAGAAGACGCTGTAGCTGGCCCACTCCTCGTAAAGCAGCTGGGAAGAGAAGAGTCAATCATTACTGTAATAATGTTCATATTCAATTATATATTGCCGGCCATTATCTGATCAATTTTATATATATCACACTTAAGCAAGTTGGCTGTTGAAAGCTAACAAAATACGTCCTCCCTATTTACTGGTTGCAAAACAGTGTCCCTCTCATTTATTTTTCAAAGCATTTAAGAAGGACGGAGAGTACCTGGTAATTATTATTTATGAAATGTCTCTAATAAGTGGAGAATATCCATGATTTCCCAAAGCCCATAGTGACAACTTTATACGTCCTGCTTTCCCCGACTAAACTACAGTATGTAGATATCTCTTTTTCTGAACGATAACTTGGGGCTGTATTCATCCTAGTTCAGGTGACTTTATTTTCAGTGTTGATGGAGCGACTATGATGTTAGCACAGCTGTACAGAACTCAATTCAGAATACAGTCTTTTTCAGTTGTTTTTTTCTTGATAACAGCATGACGAGGTTAAAACAAAATCCAGCACCTTTATATAGTTATTTCTGCATAGTTTTGATTCGTTTATTGCAAACGGAAAAATCTATTTTTTGGGTTTCATACTGCTGTAAACCAGATAAATTCAAATCAATACCAGAAATGTATTTAAGAAGAATAGAATTGTGATTGGGTGGATGACGTGATTCCGTTGACTGTTTTTGAAATGATGTTATCAGTGGTGTGGACATTTAAATGATGGTGAATATACTAAACAAGTTCATCATCCCACTATTTATTGCTTCGTCAGATATGATTCGCCCTGCTGGCTTTACCTTGATGATTTATTATACTCTATGCGTATCACAGCCAGGAGCACTAATGATATACATTCAAATGTAATCATATTTGCATATTTCATACAAATCCACTGAAGCAGCATATTCATAGTAACATATGCTTCTCAGGCAGCAGTGCCGAGCTGCACACTGAGACCTCCGCAGTTATCTGCTCACACATCCAAAGGAGCTGCTGCGTGACAACAACAATCGATGTAATCAAAAACAAACCTGCAGGCTGAAACCTGAAAGCATTAACTTCAACAGAGACCATATTCCAACCCAACAGGGACTTCTGTCATGTTGCTAATGTGAAACAAATTTGGACCAGCAGACATCAAGGACATTTACAATGCAATGCTAGGTATTATTGGATTGCATTCATTGTCAGCATGAATAACTGCTTAGAGCACACGCTGCTGTTATTTGAATAAAGTATTGAACTTATAAATCAAGGTGACTCAGATGAGCTTTTTAAATGTTTAATTTAAAGCATCTCTTATCTGGATCATGGAAACTGTTCAAGACTGAAAATCTCTCTAAAAGATTGAATGTTGAGGACATGTTGATCCCCCAGTGGAAATGCTCCTACAGTATAGTCCAAACTCGTTTAATCGAGATGTTAACCTCCTCAGCAACTTGCTTTAGTTACAAAAAATGGTTGTACTGTATAGGTTGTGTTTCTTGGAAAGCCTCAGATAAATCCTTATTCATTAAAGTTTGGAGAACCTGCGTTTTTTTATTTTGTAATTGGTGGTTCAATGGATTCAGACCATTACTAAAGACACTCTTATCAGGGAGCAAGTGAGCCATATCAATCCGCAGAAAGAAGTCTGATCCATTTCATGTTAGGGTTTCTCTATCAGAAAACACTTTGTAATCGTGTTGTAAGGGGGGAGACAGAGGAGAAGGGCTCTGGCAGTGTTTAAAGACTAAATAATGTAGAAGAAAATGTGAACAGACTTGGACAGTTTCAGAAAACCTTGATCAGAGCTGCTGTCACTTTGAGTTACGTTGCTGTCACCTCAGTTCCAGCCGTAGATCTGCAGTGGAACAGACAATTTTTTGGTGATAATTGTAATTGTTAATTCAATAACATTTTAAAATCAACATTGTCAGCCAAATCCAGAACACTGGACACAAATGTCAGCCCACTGCTCCTAGTAGTAGGATGGGTTAAACGCAGAGACCAAATGTCACAGTGTGTGCAGTGTGCATACGTGTGACCATTAGAGAGGGTTTCATCCTCCGATTCTATTCTATAATTCTATCAAATCATTGATTTATTTAATAAGTAGTGAAGGAGCCAATTAGCGATCTGGGTATAAAGGTAGGAACCAATGTTTGTTGATTCAAGTTCCGCCGGATGGCCAAAGCTGTTTTTGACCACACACCTGAGCACACACAAAAACACGGTATACACGCACAATCGCTGAGTTAAAGTTGGCTGTCCAAGCTAGTGTCATTGTTTTTACGGTGAGGGAATCGGATGGAAATTAATAGATAGCATGAATGGAATGGAGTTTCCAATTTGAAACTTTAGTATCTGACTTTATATTCATCTTACAAGCAAAAGTGTGCGTCATTCACGTAAACCAAGTAGCACCTCAGTGGATACTCATATCCACCTGGACAGCAAATGATTCTGTAAATGCTGAATTCAAGCTACTTTTTTCCCATTTTTTGGTTTTTGTATAGTTACGTTTGGGGAATTAGGTTACAGTAAAATCACACTGTCCATACAAGCAAATTATTATTTATTGTATTAGCAATTTAAGTCAAATAGGATTCACAACGTTGTGTGATTACTGTGTTCTACAATATCGGACCAAATGCTCATGATTAATAAAACAACACTGAAACATGTGTATGTGTTTGTACTGTATGTGTGTTTGTGTGTGTGTCCCAGTGTCATTTATATGCAAATCTCTTTATGTACAGTATAATAGGGCCTTTACAGTGATTATCAAACAGCGTACTGAGTGTGTGCTGTGATCCTACTACTCTGAGGCAATAAATCACAGCTTTTTCACACACACTCCATTCGCAGGCAGAGCAGCAAATGAAGGCTTTTAATCACAGCAGGAGCCTTCACAGATCACTGAGACTCAACAAGTCATTCCTACATCCGAGGAACCCATTTCCTAAAAACACTATAAAAGTACGCTGATGTGAAGGCACTTGAATTCTTAGGCTGTTGCCGTAGTGACTGTTGCCTACAGTATAATTATGGAGAGTGTTAGCAGGGGAGGAGATGACTTCAGACGCAGCGTGAGCTCTTGTTTTCTTTTGCCCGGGTGATTTTATTCTTGTACAGTGGGAGCAAGGCTCAGAATGGTATCCATGCTGTACTGTTAGCACTAGGGTCTGTCAGGTTTTGTTACTCACCGGTTACAAAAAAAGAAGACCATATGTAGACTGTGAGCACCGAGGTGCATCACACAACGCGACTTTTCTTCCTGTGGCCATCAAACTTTATAACTCCTCCTCCTTCTGCAGGAAGGATCATTAAACTATAACACCATGTGCAATATTAGGTTTATGTCATAATCTCATAACATTTGCAGTTTTAATATTTAATATTTAACCTAATTTTATTTAGTACGATGAGAAATTAGCAATTGGTATTAGTTGTTTTAAGTATTTCATATTTAGTATTTTACTTGAATGTGCTATATGACTTGTCACCAAATGACTTGTCACCAAATGACGTGTCACTGTCACAGGCCTATTCTCTACTGGGGCACTGTAATACATCATTTCCTTCAGGATTAATATAATTCTATCTAATCTGATCTGATCTAATCTAAAGTCATTTTTCTCTTTCCTGTATTGTGTTCTTTAGGTTGTGTGCATGTTAATGGTCTGCAAAGGCTAAAATCCCTGTGTTCTCTCCAGGGGGGGTTTCAGAGGGTGAGAAGAGGTGCTGCAGCACAGGCAGTATGAGACAAATAAAGAGCCTTTTGAACATTAAAGCATGGAGACATGTCACAGTAGAGACACAAAGTACAATTATGAACCTGGAAATGAGCAGAATATGTCCTTTTTAAGTCAAATGTATTTAACATGAGATTGTGTGTCATCGTTATCAGATGAAAAACATGATGCTGCTGAATGCAGCTTTTCTCCGAATCCTCCTCACTATGCTCATTTGTGATGTTTGAGAGAAAGTGACAAAGAGCGGGGAAGAGAAGTTGGAAGTTAATACAAATGAAGAGGTGGTGTTGTGTTTCCTTTAGGGCTGATTGATGATTGAGTATCTGTAAATTAACTGAAGGTGTTGCCGTGGTGACATCTGGTTCAATGTATTGACTGGTGGACTTGCTCTACGTACCTTCCTGTCGTTTGCCTCTGCATTCACCCCCTCGATGTCTCCCTGTAACCATAAATGCACTTTGTTCATCATGCATGTAATGGAAAAAAGCCTTTAACTTAACACACAATTATAAATGAGAAACCTAGGATTATTTTACATACATTATAAAGTACCGTCAATTTAGCTTTGGTGATTTTCATATGAGAAACTCAATGAATTGGAATAAATCTCTCAGTATATAAACAGCAATTTATCAGGCCGGTCAGGCA